GGGGGGGGGGGGGGGAATACTTTAGTTTTCTTCAATTTTAGCTTTTAATATGAAAATTAAAACTAATGATGTTTTGAAAATACATGTCTTTCATGGTGCAACATTATAGTAATTTTCCCCAAGGGCCTTCAACCACTTTTTTGTCCAACATCTTTTTGCTTCTACGGTCATTGCTTGATGAATCATATTCAATGAACATTGACAGGCCCAGAAGACTTTGGAAGACATCTTAGACAAGACTATAGAAATAGTGAGAGACAATGATCATGCTTTGCAGGAAGCTCCCTCGACTAATGGAGGCGGAATCCGATTATTCAAGCGTGCTCCACTCGGGATTGTATTTGATCACACAGGTAAAAGAAAATAAAATCTCAAGCAAGTAATTTGGCGGTTGTTACATCCCTGTGCTGCTAAATTTGTTTGTTGGTTTTTCAACATGCTTAAATTCCAAATTTGACTGGATTAAAAAAAAATCATTGATGCCTTGTTTAATAGAAATAGAAGGCTAAGGTTGAGATTATGTTAATTTGCTTCCACTTATAGGATAAAAATTTATTAAATGCATAATGGAAAAGCCATGCTACAGTGTACAGGCATATTGCTAACCTATTTATTTATTCTTGCTAAATCAAAATAATGTGACTGATGAATACCACGTCGGTGTCAAAAGTATATACAATGTGGGTGCAGACAAATTTTTTACCAGCACCAAGAAAGGAGGTTGGACCTGCTTGACAATTACTCAAATAGTTGATAATAGTTTTACGCCTTTTTGTTTTCTAACAAAAGGAATAATCTGCGAAATTACTACCTTTATATGTTGCTGCGGCCAAATTCCATCAGAAAATTGTTTTGAGGAGCCAACTGACCAAAATACAGAAGTTTTTTTTTGGGGGGGTGGGGGGTGACGAGGGGAAGGAGTTGTTTAGTGCATTCCTCTCTACTTAGTACACTAATATGCTTGGAATTTGTTTTGATGGTCACTGCTTAGACGGAGAAAGTCCATGATGTGATTGAAAGGAATTGATGAAAAATGCATTTAAAGCTGACGGAGTAAGAGGAAAAGTATTAGGCATATAGTGGGGTGAACACTTGATGTGTGGACATAAACTTGGACTTCTCCCTTTTCTGATTTTATTTTTGACAAGGGAGCATGGGAAGGACGGGCATGGAGAACTAACTGTACTTGGACGAATACGCAGCAGAACGAATTCTTTCCTCAATGACTTACAGGAGGGAGGAACTAGGTGAATGGGGTGGGTTTCAACCGTTACTTGCCCTCCTTCCTTCACACATTAATATGAGAGCAACTATAGCTGCATATTAATGAGAGAGTGCATATTATGTAAATCCCTCATATCGTAATAAGACTAGAGTCTAAAGCTAAAACATTAATGTCCTTCTTTTTGCTAGATCAACTCCAACAACCCAGAAAGAAACCAAGAATTCATCCTGGGAAGGGAATTGAGGAGAAGTCAAAAGAGGTTTGCCTTTTCTACTTGTTCTGATTCATAGTTCGTCAAAACTTTTATTTAGAATTCTCTTTCCACCTGCAGTGTTATGTTATTTCAGCTTCTCACTTCCCCAGTTATGGTTGCCTCAGTTTAAATACCAAATCAAGTCCGTTGCTGTTGATGGGATGGATATTTTAGCTGCATCAAAAAATGCTTGCCAGAAATCGTTGGCTAGACTAGAAGCAAGAGAAGCAGCAGTTAAAGCTGCTGCTAAAAGAGAGGAAGAAAGAGTTGCAGCACTAAAAGGAATTAGGGGGGAGAGATGGCTCCCTTCTGTGGCCAGAGATATGCAATTAAGGCTTCAACGACGTTGACACCTGTAGATGGACTAGGCTTCCATTATTCAGCACTCATATTTCATTCTTTTACTCTTCAAGGTTTCTATTGCTCATTTCAGCCTCTGTTTTATGTTAGGCTACCTGAGCCGTTGTCATTGTCATTTCCAGAAAAAGATAGTGACACTGTTCAGTATTGCCAAAAAAGAAAAGTTTCTTCTGATTAAGCTATTTACATTTCTGTATTAAAGTTAAAGTCTGGTTATTGGACTGCCAAACAATTGGTGTCAAGGCAAAGCATTTCTGTATTCATTTGCTTCTGAAGATCGCTCGTGATCATAAATGCCAGCCAGTGATTCGATGGTCTGTATAATGTGTCTAGCGTGCTTATAGTACATCAGAATTTCAGATCTAATTGAGCTGTCTTCTTGATGATTTAGGTAGTTGGTATATGTGCCTAAAGGCATGATATTTGAACGAGCAAAATGACTTGAGTTTCTGAAATAGAAGGAGCATCAATCGAAGGTTTTGAGTGCCATGAGAATATTAATAACGATGTCGAGCTTTGATAAGTAGACCATGTACAAGTCAAATAGATGGAAACAAGAAGCTAACAATACATGTGGAATCTCAACTAAACAACTCTTCTTCTATTGTTCCCATCTCTGTTACAATGACAAATCAGATACAGCCAAAAGTATCTCAGAAAACTTAAACAGAAAGTATTGAATTTCCTAATCCTTGGTTAATCCGAAACCACCTAGGAATAATCTCCGACTGGTGTTTCTTCAATGTGCAATCATCGACACTCATGGTGTAAATACCTTCAAAACCTCCCCTTAATTCTTCTCAGCATATCTGAAGAAATTGAACCATGGGATGCTGCACCCCAAAGATTAAAAAGGCCCTCAAAATAGGTTGTGGCATTACAGCAATTCTCCTAATTATTCTTCTAGTCGTTGGTATTATTCTATATTTCACAATCCTTAAGCCAAAAGATCCAAAAGTCACAATTCAGTCTGTCACATTAGAGTCCATTAGATTTGAGCCATTTCCAGCATTTCACCTCAACATAACAATTGGACTAATCCTCACTATCCATAACAGGAATTATGGAAGCTTCAAGTATGATAGTAGCAGAGCTTATGTGAGTTATCACGACGATCCAGCAGCTGAAGCACCAATTGAAGCAGACACCATCCCAGCTAGAAAAGATCATGATGTGAACACAACTGTGCTAATTAAATCAGATGGTTTCTCTAAGAATCCTAATTTCTTAGGAGATTTTATTTCTGGGTGCTTGAATTTTACTTCGTCAACCACTTTACACGGGAAAGTCACTGTGTTGAAAGTCTTGAAGCTCAAAGCCACAACTGTTAGCACATGTGACATCTCAGTTTTCACCAAATTCCAGAATGCAAGTTCTCTTTGCAAATCCAAAATTAAGTTCTGATTTTTTTTTTTTAATTTTATGATTCTGCTATAGTGCTATTGTTTTGTCTAATGTTTCCCGTTGATTGGTTAGATGAAGTATCCATATCAATAAAATAGCAAGAGCCCATTTTTTTTATTTGGAAACCAAACCCAAAGGCCAAAATAATCCGTCTTGCTTTTCGAAATTAAACAGGAATAGGTTCACTTCGAATAAGATCAGGGGATTAAGAAGACATCCGCAAAGTTTAGATGTGTAAGAAGTTTCAGAACTCAAGTTTAGGGAGCAAAATATCTATTTTTCCTTTCTAAATTCTACTACTGTATAACACTTTGAATCTAAGAACATTCAGCTACTTACGCTTTGCATGACTGCGTGCGTTCATGAGGATGCTTCTTTAAAAATATTTGTACATTGACAATTACTCGTGTTTCTTTTCGTGATACGTAAACTATATTGTGATTATTCGTATAACATTGATAGTTATCCATTCAAGCGTTTCGTCTAAAATATAGGAGGATATTCTGGTTGCCTTAAGCTGTTACTTGATACATAACACATAATGTCTGAGGGCTTTAGGGCATCTCCAAACCTTTACCCCCATTTTGGTTCTCAAAATGGGGATTTCCTTTGGTCCCCCATTTTGGGAACAAGTTACTCCAACCATTTCCCTATTTTTTCTTTCAAAAGAGAATATTCTTTTTTATATTCTTCTCTCTCTTCTATATTATATTATTATCTTTCATTTCAATTTTATTTTTTAATTTTCATTAAACAAATTCCATCTTTTATTTTCATTAATTTGTAATTTCCATTAAAATAATTCCATAAAATTTTAAATAATATTATTTGTAAGCAATTATTATAGATTAACTAATAATTCAAATAAAAGTAAAATCATTGCTATACAAGATTAATTAAATACATATTACATAACGATAAAATTCATTCGAAATACTACATAAATATCCAACTTCAACCTCTAGTATTCTCCCATAAATGATCTATTAATGCATTACGAAGTGCAAAATGAGCATCTTTGTCCTTAATTCTTCTATGTCGAGTTAAAAATTCATGAAATCATTCATTTTCATCTACTGCTATTTCTACTGTTGGAGGTGGACCTTTCAAATCATCTTGAATTGGTGCATTAAGATCACGTTCATTCTCGATTATCATGTTGTACAGTATAATACATGTAGTCATTATATCATGTAGCACTTCTTTTTGCCAAAAATGTGAGGGTCCTGCGACAATTGCAAAGCGTTGTTGCAAAACTCCGAATGCATGTTCAACATCTTTTCGACATGATTCTTGTTTCATTGCAAAATATTTCTTCTTTACCGAACGTGGCTCACGAATAGTTTGCACAAGGGCTGACCATTTTGGATATATACCGTCAGCTAAATAATAGCCCATATTATATTCTTGTCCTTGAATAACATAATGGACGGGAGGAGCAGTACCTGCAACAAGATCGAAAAACAAATGTGATGACTCTAAAACATTAATATCATTATTGGTGCCGGGCATGCCATATCCAAAGGTCATAATCAGCCACAACTTCAAGAATAATTGTTGGGGATCCACTACGACCTTCATATTGTCCAGCCCATGCTGTAGATGCATACAACAATACAAAGGAAGATTTTTTGGAGAGTCGCACCAAGAAATTGTTTCAACACCGAATGCAAATGATTGAGAAGGTAGTAAGAAAATTAAACGGATGCGTACGTCAAGTAGAAAATTTGCGTCCTAGTGGTGCTTCTGAGCAGGATATTGTGATTGTAGTTGCTTATATTTAATTTGTATAATACTTACTGTTTTTTAATTTTTTTTAATATTGCAGCTTACACAAGCAAAAGCTTTACTTTTGCAAGATCCGAACTTCAAAAAGGGTTATAAATTTGATCATGTGTGGGCTATAATGAAGGATTTTGAGAAGTTTAACGATGACGATTTTGGAAGAAAAAAACCAAGAAAGCAAGGCTATACTAATATATCATCGGAGTCTGAGAATTCTACCCCTGATTCACCCTATCTATCATCTCATAACTCATCATCATTTTTACTAAATTTAAATGAGGATGTTGCAGGTGATTCCACAACATCACAACGACCTAGTGGGGTGAAGAAAGCAAAAATGAAGAGAAAAATTGACGAAGATTATATGAAGACAATCCAATCAGAAAATAATGAGATGGTTGCGGTGATGAATAATGCAACCGAGGCAAAAAAAGAAGTTTTGACTGTTCAAAAAGAAAAACTAAGAGTAAAAGAAATGAAAGAAGAAAATAAAGTTCTAATGATGGATGTGGATTCTATTGTCGATCCGACTCATCGTGAATTTATGCGACAAGAACAACAACGAATAATGTATAAAAGAAGTCAACAATATCCACAGTCACAACCATAACAATCCTCGTCCCCATTCACTCAATACTATAATAATTTTGGTGTATCTGGAAACGACATATCTCCCTACTAAGTTATTATGCTATTTATCGTAGTTTTAATTTTTATGTATTTTAATTTAATGTATTTTCAATTTTCATGTATTTCCAATTTTAATGTATTTTCATTTAATGTATTTTCAATTTTCACTTTTATATTTTAGCAACATCTAATATTTTATATTCACATCTTTCAATTTTAGTAACGTCTAATATTTTATATTTGCACCATTCATTTTTTGAGATAATTATATATTTTTTGTACAATTATAACTTATAATAAAATTAACTTACAATTTTACATACAAATAATAAATGCACGAAAATTAATTTATCAAAATTATACGCCAAAGTTAAGATATAAAATTAATATTATAAAGATATTACATAAACATAATTAGGTATATATAAAGAGATAAATTAAAAGAGTTAAATAATAAAATAATAATAAAATATGCATGAATAGTAATGGGGGAAATGAATAGTGTACCCCCTTATTTGGGGGAACACTATTCATCCCCCATTTTGGGGGCAAAAATGGGGAAGGTTGGAGCTTCATTATTGCAAAAGTTGCTCCAATTATGGAAAAATGTGGGAGGGTTGGAGATGGCGTTATATTACATTCGATGATTAACGAAAAGAAACAAAATAAATGGAGTATATAACTTTGATAATTGTGCCAATGTGTTGTCAAAATTTACCATTTTGAATGCTTCCATAAGCCAGACATCACAAATCTTTTTACATGACATAACACAATATGGAGGAAACTTCTCAATCACTTGCTTACCTAGCGCACAACAAATGCAAATAGATTAGCTTTCCAGCACTGGTATTTTTTAGCAGTAAAAGCATATTCTAACTTTGAGGGTGTGTTTGGTATAATGGAAAATGTTTTTCGTGGAAAATATTTTTCAAAAAATTATTTTCTTGGAAAACAAGTCATAATCTTATTTATTTTTCGGTGTTTGGTATGCAAATTAAGGAAAATGACTTCTCAAGAGTATTCATAAATAATTTAGATATAATAAACATAAAGCCATAAACTTTCTAACCAACAACCTTCCGAACCCACCAATTTCATAAACTTTCGAACTACTAAACTTTCAAAATTGCAGAATTTCGAACCCGTAAACTTTATAATTTCTAAACCCGTAAACCTCCGAACTCATAACTTTGGANTGGGGTGGGGTAGATGAGTAGTAGGGTGGGTGGTAACGGAAAAACTAAAATTTGAAAAAAAGGAGTCTTTTTTGAGAGAGGGGATAAGGTGAGTTGGTGAAGGTGGGGAAGGTTGAGAAGGAGTTTTGGAAATTATTTTCCCTTTTCTTGATAAGGAAAACATTTTCCTCCAATTGGATGAAAATAAGTTCATAAGTGTATGGGTCAAAATTTGTCCACACGTGGATTAGTGCTAAAAGGAATGGTAAGGGGTCGACTGAGCCGTGGTCGTACTCACAAGGTATAATAACGATAAGCATCTCGGTCACTGCCGAGATCGAGCCATCATCGAGCTTGTACGGCAAAACATGTGTCGTAATGCTCGAGGGGAACAAAGAAAAGTATAATCAAGAGAAGGTATTCTAGCTAAAGACCGTTGGACAAAGGGGAACATTCATAATATAAATAGAAGGTAAGAAGGCAAGAAAAGGGGACCGACTCCCTCTGGAGAGAGAAGGATAGAAGAACAGGAGGAGACCTCCAACAACAAAGCAAAAGCCTAGGTTTTGACCGCAAACCCTTGTAATCGACATGGCTGAGCCAGAAAAGATATATCTCATAGCTATCGATGGAGTTCCATTCTTTCCTTCTTTACTCTTACATTACAGAACAATATATCAAAGATGTAAGCTTGTCATTTATGTCTGATATCTTTCAACAATCTTAAAAAAAGTTATATAAATTCGGTTGTATTTGATTCTCGTATTTAACATGCTTTGATCTAGAGCTAATTATCTTTGGTTAAGATTTGCCCTCCCTTTCATCATTAATTAGTTTAACGAAAAGCTTAACACTTTTTGGTCAAATAATATGGCGCCGTCTGTGGGAATTTCTTAGCCAAATCTTTAGTTTCCTTTAGATATAAAACCAGACAAGTATCATCTCCAGGTTGCCATAGCCTCACCATCTCGGCACAAACGCCAGCTCGAAAAAGTGACAGATAAGCTTTTGAGATGACCAAACCAATCCGGGTCAGATCTCTACATGAAATCGAAATCATGTCCGACGTCTGTGCAAAATCCACGCCTCATCTGTAGCGATGGGTTTGGCACGTCATATGCATGTTCAAAGTAAGACCACAATCACTATGCACCTAGCATGACTGCAGTCCTATCTAACATGTTTACTCTATATACCGGTCTGTACTCCCACCTCTTAGGAAAGGATGCATATTGAGTGATTCTCTGAGATAATGGGTGTATCTTGCCTTATTTTCGTACCCACACGCGCTGTGTGATTTATGAACGAGTATAACATGTTTCCCTTGTTGTTTGCACATATCGAGCGGGATCAGATTGGGACTCAGACTCGAGATCCCACAGGCGAAGTAGGTCCAGCCCACGAGAA